TTTCCAATAATTAGATGGAGGAGCTTAATTTGGGGGAGGGGAGATTAAAGGGAACCAGTGATTTATGATCGAGTTTGGGGATATAAAGAACCCAATTGGGAATGGGAAAAGCACAATAGAACTTCAAAGCAAAAGCAATGGAGGAATATAATAAGATTTCTCCATTGCTTTTGTTTTTCTTTATGCTCCACACAGCGGCTGTTCCTACCAAGAACTCCTACATTGTCTATTTGGGATCACACTCCTTCGCCCCAAATCCAAGTGTATACGACGTCCAACTTGCAACCGAGTCTCAGTATGATATATTAGGATCCGTCAAGGGAAGGTACTTCGTTCTCTTCACATGTTATTTCTTCATATCCATCGCTTAACAACTCTCCTTTTGGTGCATAGCAAAGTGGCAGCCAAGGACTCTATTCTCTACTCCTACAATCGATACATTAATGGCTTTGCTGCCGTTCTTGATGAACAAGAAGCCACGGCTCTTGCGAGTAAGCGTTGTTGCTTTCCCACTTTTGTTGCTGCATTTGGGTGCTCTTAACGTCTTACTTTACGGATGATGTTGTCTACAAATAGAGAATCCAAGCGTGGTGTCCGTTTTTGAGAACAAGGAAAGAAAACTGCATACAACACGGTCATGGGGTTTTCTGGGGGTCGATAGTGATCGAGGAATCCCTCAGAACTCCATTTGGAAGGCGGCTCGGTTTGGGGCAGATACCATCATAGGAAACCTCGACACGGGTTTGCGAATCTTCCCTTCTTTTATTCTATTTTTCTTATTTGCTGGCGGCCGACTTGAACTATTACAATGTATTTGCGAAGGTGTCTGGCCGGAGTCCCCCAGCTTCAATGATGCAGGGTATGGCCCTGTTCCTTCAAGGTGGAGGGGAGCTTGCGAAGGCGGCTCCAAATTTCGATGCAACAGGAAGTTGATTGGAGCACGCTATTTCTACCGAGGATTTCAAGCCGCCGAAGGTCCATTGACAACGCACAACATCAGCTTCGACAGTGCACGAGACCATGAAGGCCATGGATCGCACACTTTGTCCACTGCGGGCGGCAACTTTGTCCATGGAGTCAATGTGTTTGGCAATGGAAATGGGACTGCGAAAGGAGGTTCCCCCAGGGCTCGTGTTGTTGCCTACAAGGTCTGCTGGCCTTCAAAAAATGGCGGCTGTTACGATTCCGATATCTTAGCAGGCATCGAGGCCGCCATCAGCGACGGTGTGGATGTTCTTTCGGCCTCTATTGGCACGCTAGCTCAAGAGTTTGCTAATGACGCTATTTCGATAGGGGCGTTCCATGCGGTTCAGCACGGAATCGTCGTGGTTTGCTCGGCCGGGAATGACGGCCCGTCTCCCGGGAGTGTGAGCAATGTGTCTCCTTGGATGGTCACTGTTGGAGCAAGTACCATCGACCGTGACTTTGTCAGTTATGTGGTCCTGGGGAACAAGAAGCGATTTAGGGTACTCATCACACACAACCCTTAGATAAATGGTTTAGTCTATAATGCATTAAACTTATTATGTTTGTGGTTGATGAGCTGATCAAAATAACCTCTACGTTTACTCCAAAGGGTTCAAGCCTTTCATCCAGTCGATTGCCCGCTGGTAAGTTCTACCCTTTGATAAAGGCTGTGCAAGTGAAAGCTGCCAATGCCACTGATGGGTTTGCGTGAGTATACACATACATATATTACCTCTCCACTTCAAAGGGCACTTTGGTTTGAACTTCACTCTGTTTCTACAGCCAACTTTGCATGGATGGAACACTCGATCCCACAAAGGCAAAAGGCAAGATTATAGTTTGCCTTCGAGGAGAAAATGCAAGAGTGAGCAAGGGGTTCGAGGTTTTTCGTGTCGGTGGTGTCGGGATGGTTCTGGTAAATAACCAGATGGACGGTTCAGCTCTTGTAGCTGATCCACACATACTTCCTGCTTCTCATCTAAGCTATGCGGATGGAGTTTCCATCGCTCAATATTTGAGCTCCACCAAGTAAGGACTCTCATCTATTCTATGACAAAATGAAAAGGAAATGGGCTAAATATTTAGTTTTTGTATTGCAAATGGAACCAGAACACCCGTGGCTTCCATAACCCATGCAAGCACAGAGATGGGAATTAAACCATCGCCTCTCATGGCTTCATTTTCCTCAAGAGGCCCTGATTTCATCACACAGGCTGTAATCAAGGTTGGTTTTATAGTAAGCCAATGCAACTTTCAACCTTTGTAAACCTATCTCAAATCTTTATATCTTGGTGTAGCCTGATATAACAGCACCGGGTGTAAATATAATCGCATCTGTCACCGACGATATATCAGCATCAGGCTTGCCACTTGATAAACGTCGAGTGCCTTTTAACATCGAGTCTGGCACTTCCATGTCATGCCCACACATCTCTGGTGTTGCAGGCCTTCTAAAGACTCTGCATCCCACGTGGAGTCCTGCAGCTATCAAATCCGCCGTCATGACTACAGGTTTATTGAACTGGAGAAACAAAACTCGATTTAAATATTTAAATTTCATTTCGTCCTCTAAAGCTTTGATTTTGTTTTGCAGCCAAAACTAGAGACAACACCAAGAACACATTATTGGACTACACCAAAGTGAAGGCTACCCCATTTGATTATGGTGCAGGACACGTCCATCCAAACGATGCCATGGACCCCGGCCTCGTTTACGACACAACGGTTGATGACTATTTGAACTTCTTATGTACACGGGGCTACAACTCCCGCACACTCAAGAAATTCTCTAACAAGCCGTTTGTTTGCGCCAACAACTTTGCAACCACAGACTTCAACTATCCATCCATCTTGGTCCCCAGGTTGCAAATTGGTGGATCGGTGACGGTCAATAGAAGAGTCAAGAATGTGGGAAGCACAGGCACGTATGTGGCGCGGGTGAGGATGCCCAAGGGTATTACAGTTATGGTTGAGCCAAGTAAGTTACAATTTCACAGCGTTGGAGAAGAGAGGCCTTTCAAACTTATATTTCATTATGCACATAAACTGCGACGTCAAGGCTATGTTTTTGGGGCATTGGTATGGTCAGATGGGAAACATTTTGTTAGAAGTTCTATTGCCGTGAATTTGGTTTGATCACATTTATAATCTTGTAATCCAAATTCATTCTATTATCAATATATAAGCTTTCCATATATTTTGCACTCTATTATTTATTTGTTTATTTGTGTGGCTCTAATTTGTAGACCTCCTATTGTTAGGACTAAACCAACTAAAACAAAAGATATCAAATTTCTCCTATCATATTTAGGAGTGGAATCTATATTGGTCGTGACCAAGATAATCACCGATTTACTTATCCGGTGATCCTAAGGTGCGGAGTTCTTTGTGCATGCTTTGGTAGCTAGAGCATTGTTCACATAATCTAGAATGTTTATTAGGGAGATATTCTATCGATTACCTAAAATATTTAAAACATAACTAAAACATTTATGCAAACAAAAAATAAAAACTATTATGAAATTTGATTAAAGATATAAAGATACTAAAGATATAAAGATATTAAAGATATAAAAATATTTATGGAATAAAGATACTCACAATCCACTTCCTGCTAGCGTTCTCACGGCTGGTACTCGTTCCTTTCTTCAATTGATGTGGGACCCCCACTAAATCCACCCTGGGGCCTAGCGTCCTTGCAGGCACATCACCCGGTGTCTGACTCTGATACCATTTGTAATAGCTTAGGCCCACCGCTAGCAGATATTGTCCTCTTTGAATTTTCCATTTCGGCCTCTTTGAGCTTTCCCTCAAGGCTTTAGAACACTAGGGAGAGGTTTCCACACCCTTATAAATGGTGTTTCGTTCTCCTCCCCAACTGGAATCTCACAGCTTTATGCTCAAAGTAGACAATATCATACCATTGTCGAGAGCTGTGATTTCTAATATGATATCAGTCATACCCTTTACTTAGCCACGATATCAGAGTCATACCCTTAACTTAGTCACATTAATGAAATCCTCAAGTGTCGAACAAAGAAATACGCAGGAGTAACTCAATTTTGAACAAACACTAGCATGTTCACTAACCTGTATTCTCTCTAAGGCTTTTGGAAGGTAAGCTCATGGACAGTAAACTCGCTACTCAACTTGTTTAAGATCAACTCTGAAATGGGTAACTTTCTTCTTACCCGTACATGGCATCATCCTTCATAATGAAGAGGCTTATAATGAAGGGTTTGTGGAAGAGATTGAATCTCTTTCATCTAGAAGAATTGTTATCTAACTTGAAAAGGAAAATAACAATTAAATAACAAACAGCAAATGAGAAGTCCACATGAACATTTGACAAATAATTATTGGACACAAGAACTAATCGTGGTTGCATAGATGCTTGTGATTTTGTAGAATATCGTTAATTGGCAGTAAAAGAGCTTTAGGCATAAGAGTTTAGCTTAATTAACTTACAAACTTTTGTCTCAAGATACTCTAATGCTTGTTCTTGTGTATATGCTTTTTCCTTCGCACATTCCTACAATAATAGTGCAGTTGTCAAAGAGAAAAAGAAAACTATAAAACTGACAAAGTACTAAACCAAGAATAAACGGATTCAAAACTATACAGCCTACAGAACAGGTGCAATATCCATATACTCAAAAGCTACAGCATAACAGTCTCAAAACAAGTTTGAATGCATATGCATTTCAGCATGACAGATGCTATTGCGAAGTTTGTCATAGTTTAGGTTGTTCCCTAACTACAGAGGAGTACTTTCATAATATATTCTTAAGTATTTCAGTATTGCCAAAGGTTGGAAAGGAATTTTTTTTTTTTCTCTGGCAAAGGATTGAACACCTGTTTGCTCTTCCAAAGTGAGGTTTGGCATCTCACAGTAACTCTAAAAAAAACAGACAACACTTTGATAGAAGAACCTTAGTCTGGCACTCCCATGATCACGTAATATTCACTTTGCAACACTCATATGCCATTTTTGTTAGAAACCACGACCCTCCACAATGGTATGATATTGTCCACTTTGAGCATAAACTCTCATGACTTTGCTTTTGGTTTCTCAAAAGGCCTCATACCAATGGAGATAGTATTATTTACTATGAGCTTCTCCTTAACTAGCCGATGCGTGACTCCTCTCCCAATAATCCTCCCCTTGAATAAAGTATACCATAGAGTCTCCCTGAGGCCTACGTAGCCCTCGAACAACCTCCTCTTAATCGAGGTTCAACTCCTTCTCAGGAGCCCTCAAACAAAGTACACCCTTTGTTTGACACTAAGTCACCTTTGACTACACCTTCGAGGCTCACAACTTCTTCGTTTGACACTTAAAGATTCTATCGACATGGCTAAATTAAAAGCATGACTCTAATACCATGTAGGAATCACGGACCATCCACAATGGTATGATATCGTCCACTTTGAGCATAAACTCTAATGCTTGGTTTTCCCAAAAAGCCTCGTACCAATAGAGATAATATTCCTTACTTATAATAAACCCATGATTTTCTCCTTAAAAATCAGCAAATCTAAAGTAACAATGCAGAAAATAACGTAATGAATTGTTTGAACAAAGAAACATACTGCGAGAACCCCAAACACTTTCATAAAAAACGAGCCAGCTCCTTTCAACTTTTCTGGGGATTTTCCATTCGAAGCCTGCTCTCGGTCGGCCTGTGAAATACAGAAACCTAATTAACCAGTTAACAACATATACAAAATTCCAAATAAGACCTAAAGATCACACCCTCTCTGCAATGATCCTAATCTCTTAATATTAAATTTCAAATAACCCCTCGAACAAAATACACCATAGAGCCTCCACCGAGGCCTAGAGAGCCCTCGAACAGCCTCTCCATATTCGAGGCTCAAATACTTAGGAGCTCTCGAACAAATTACACCCTTTGTTCAACACTAAGTCATTTTTTACTGCACCTTCGAGTGAAAGGGAATGAAGGAGAAGTAACGGTTTGGTTGTTTAGGCTTGAGTTTGTCAGAAGGATTGATCTCTGTCCTAGTTTCTTGAAATGTTTGGGGTATTCTTCTATACTTACTTATTCTACAGATACCAAAAGAATTTTCATTTCAATCTCTACTTTCCATTGGTCGAATTGGTCGAATCATAGGTATGGAACGCCAAAGAATAGTAAGATAATGAGCCCACAGAAGGTTCGGCTAAGAGAGCTCAAAAAAAATAAGTCACATTGATGAGCCACAACGAAGTCAAAGGACAATTTGTGATATTTTCACACTAAACAAACCCAGCAACAAAGATCCTTTGCTGTGTTCTTGCAGCATACCAAGACATGCCGAGATTGGAAGCTTTAAAGAGGAATTGGTGCAGTAAATCTTACCCAAGTGCTTTATCTTCTGGTAGTAAATTGGTCCCATAAATATCGTAATGGGCAACCTGTGATACCTAGAGAATGAACCAACATATCAGCTTCTAACAGAGTCAGAACACAAAATGTTGGTGCCAAAGAATAAAGGTCTAGGAAATTTTTCTTTCCAAATTTCAATTATTTAGCATGCAGAGAATGTATTGACAAGAAAAGGTATGTGCTACGCTTAAGGAAACTCATAGAAGCAAAACTGGCAATTTCATTCCATCCTTAATGCTGGTTAAGACTCTAATAAAGTAAACCTAACAAGACTATGCCTCTAGCTATTGGTAGCACACCATATAAGCAAGATGTCAAGGTGATCAGGCTAAACAGATGCAGGATGTCCCAAAAGGTCACCTTACTCTGCATCAGAATACATGGCTAGATCTTTGGCTCTAAAGATCATCTATTCCCTAAAAATTATGCATGCATCCCAGAAGTGTTTTTGTATAAGGTTGTTCAAAATATAGCTATAACTTACTGGCTTCCGTTGTTTGACAAAGAATAGAGACTTTGTCCCGTTATAGCCATCTGGTTCACCAGGAATCTATCTACTTTAGTTAAAACAACCCTAAAAAGTTCAACTAGGGCTTAGACTTTATCTGTTTATCTGCGTGAAAAAGGGTTAAACTCAATCCATATCATTCAGCTGATCTGGATGATTAAAGGCGCATAAGAGAACCATCACAACAAAGTTCTCTATGTTTCAACATAAACGTTTCAACTTTTCAAGTCACAATAATATTAGAATGTTTTACAGGACAAAATCAAATAAGAAATAGGACATTAAACTTCTGTACGTGATTAACCCTCAGGAAAGATAAAAACCTGAGTAAAGAAAGTCCTTCCCATTAACTGAAGCCACTCTTGATAAGAGTCTCGCTCAAAAGGAGAGGAAAATAATTCAATGACTCTTGAAAGACCATAGAAAACGGTGTTAGTGGATGTAAAGGAAGCACTTTAATACCTTATAAGCAGCAACTTCGTCTGCATCACCACTTGGCTCTCCAAATGCACTACCATAGTGAAACCTACCACATGAAGCCCCTGCTTTTCCTCCTAGGAGTTCAACCATTTTTCCCACTGTCATTCGACTGCAGCAATCAATTAATAACCATTAACACTAGTAATTTTACATGCTTTAGTAAAGTGCCATAGATCAAATCACAAACTCAAGATGATGATTTATGCAATTTTAGAATTGTGGTTGGGAAAATGATAGACAAAAAGAGCATAAACCATGATATAGGTAGAACCAATGTCCACTTCTTGTGCTGAAATATGCAAAGTTTCTACTTCTTGTGCTGAAATATTATCAAACATTTTCATATGCAAGCTCATTTCAAAGCAATAAAATGCTACTTGATCATAATATCCTTGCCCAGAGCTTTGGGCATCTGAAATGAAAAATGCTGCTTGAATTTCTTCTGCAGAATGAGTTGAATTGAATGTAACAATATATGTCCAAATTAAAACTTTAAGTTCTAAATACTAAACTGAAGCATTATACCATTAAGAATAAACCTAGAGTGGCTGGCACCTTGTAATAGGAGAACAGGAGCACAAAAGCGACTAACCTGCTTCTCATTCACAAACACATTGACAAACTCGCCACAAAGTACTAAAGGAAGAAGCCGACAAGTGTGAAACAAGTAGGAAATGAACATGCTAGAGACATGAATGAAAAACGAGTGTAAAACAAGAAGCCGCCAGCATCGATGCAGCAATGAACATGCTAGAGACATGAATGAAAACCGTGTACCCTAAGATAAGTACGATCATTGCAGGATTCAATTCGATCATTGGCCTTGACTATCTTTTTAATTTCTGTATTCACGAAGTAGTTAAAGAAATCTCGAGCGTTGTCGAACCAGACCTCTTACTTGAAACCAGATGATTAAACTATGTGCGTTAATAATCATAGGCTGAAATTTAGACAAAAGCAGCGTGATAGAGATAATTTCATGGCTAAACATATAATCATAACAATAACAAACAAAAGCAGTGTGATGATTTCCACCTTCAAAAATTCAGGAAGAAGTTGAAACTTATCGACGGCTGACTTGATAGGCAGGCCAAGGAATTTCTTGTCAATGTCCAAATCGATTCCATTAGGATCGTCGACTTGCTTCCTGTTCCTACAGAGTTTGTCATGGTAGAAAGTAACTGATCAGAAACTTACAATGGCGGAAAACGGAAATTCAGCACCGAAAATAACAAAATTTAAACCATTAGTTTTATTTAGATTTTTCAAAATATTAATACTCTTAAATATTTTTAAAATATTTATTTTGATTTAGATACTTTCAAAATTAATATTTTATACTTTTTAAAAATGACTAGTTTCACCTTGAAACTACAATTCGTAGAAACTTCTCCAAAATAGACTAAAACCATGATGAGGAGCTAAAGTTGTTACAATTAACATCACTCATGTCAGCAAACTCAAACCCAAACAGTGATGCTGAGTTATTTAGATTAGATTTGATTTGATTAGTTAGATTAGATTTGATTTGGTTATTTGAATTAGACTTAATCATACTAGATTTAGTCATATAGGAATTTGACATCCGGATTTGTTTTGTATGTCACATTGTATTTCTTGAGTGACATATGAGTGGCATATTAGTAAGTCTATATAGTGTAATAGCGAGGTATTCACTTGTAACGCTTTGTTCATGTTTATATAGTGTGATGGTGAGATATTCACTTGTGACTCTTTGTTTATTAGCGATTAGTTGCTACCTATGGATGTAGTGGAGCTTCTCCTCTCCGAGCCACGTAAATATTTTGGTGTCTCTTTTTCGTGCTGTCAAAACTCATTTTGATATCTTTTGTTTTAGTTGGTTTAGTCCTAACAATAGGATGTCTACAAATTAGAGCCACACAAATAAACAAATAAATAATAGAGTGCAAAATATATGGAAAGCTTATATATTGATAATAGAATGAATTTGGATTACAAGATTATAAATGTGATCAAACCAAATTCACGGCAATAGAACTTCTAACAAAATGTTTCCCATCTGACCATACCAATGCCCCAAAAACATAGCCGCCTTGACGTCGCAGTTTATGTGCATAATGAAATATAAGTTTGAAAGGCCTCTCTTCTCCAACGCTGTGAAATTGTAACTTACTTGGCTCAACCATAACTGTAATACCCTTGGGCATCCTCACCCGCGCCACATACGTGCCTGTGCTTCCCACATTCTTGACTCTTCTATTGACCGTCACCGATCCACCAATTTGCAACCTGGGGACCAAGATGGATGGATAGTTGAAGTCTGTGGTTGCAAAGTTGTTGGCGCAAACAAACGGCTTGTTAGAGAATTTCTTGAGTGTGCGGGAGTTGTAGCCCCGTGTACATAAGAAGTTCAAATAGTCATCAACCGTTGTGTCGTAAACGAGGCCGGGGTCCATGGCATCGTTTGGATGGACGTGTCCTGCACCATAATCAAATGGGGTAGCCTTCACTTTGGTGTAGTCCAATAATGTGTTCTTGGTGTTGTCTCTAGTTTTGGCTGCAAAACAAAATCAAAGCTTTAGAGGACGAAATGAAATTTAAATATTTAAATCGAGTTTTGTTTCTCCAGTTCAATAAACCTGTAGTCATGACGGCGGATTTGATAGCTGCAGGACTCCACGTGGGATGCAGAGTCTTTAGAAGGCCTGCAACACCTGAGATGTGTGGGCATGACATGGAAGTGCCAGACTCGATGTTAAAAGGCACTCGACGTTTATCAAGTGGCAAGCCTGATGCTGATATATCGTCGGTGACAGATGCGATTATATTTACACCCGGTGCTGTTATATCAGGCTACACCAAGATATAAAGATTTGAGATAGGTTTACAAAGGTTGAAAGTTGCATTGGCTTACTATAAAACCAACCTTGATTACAGCCTGTGTGATGAAATCAGGGCCTCTTGAGGAAAATGAAGCCATGAGAGGCGATGGTTTAATTCCCATCTCTGTGCTTGCATGGGTTATGGAAGCCACGGGTGTTCTGGTTCCATTTGCAATACAAAAACTAAATATTTAGCCCATTTCCTTTTCATTTTGTCATAGAATAGATGAGAGTCCTTACTTGGTGGAGCTCAAATATTGAGCGATGGAAACTCCATCCGCATAGCTTAGATGAGAAGCAGGAAGTATGTGTGGATCAGCTACAAGAGCTGAACCGTCCATCTGGTTATTTACCAGAACCATCCCGACACCACCGACACGAAAAACCTCGAACCCCTTGCTCACTCTTGCATTTTCTCCTCGAAGGCAAACTATAATCTTGCCTTTTGCCTTTGTGGGATCGAGTGTTCCATCCATGCAAAGTTGGCTGTAGAAACAGAGTGAAGTTCAAACCAAAGTGCCCTTTGAAGTGGAGAGGTAATATATGTATGTGTATACTCACGCAAACCCATCAGTGGCATTGGCAGCTTTCACTTGCACAGCCTTTATCAAAGGGTAGAACTTACCAGCGGGCAATCGACTGGATGAAAGGCTTGAACCCTTTGGAGTAAACGTAGAGGTTATTTTGATCAGCTCATCAACCACAAACATAATAAGTTTAATGCATTATAGACTAAACCATTTATCTAAGGGTTGTGTGTGATGAGTACCCTAAATCGCTTCTTGTTCCCCAGGACCACATAACTGACAAAGTCACGGTCGATGGTACTTGCTCCAACAGTGACCATCCAAGGAGACACATTGCTCACACTCCCGGGAGACGGGCCGTCATTCCCGGCCGAGCAAACCACGACGATTCCGTGCTGAACCGCATGGAACGCCCCTATCGAAATAGCGTCATTAGCAAACTCTTGAGCTAGCGTGCCAATAGAGGCCGAAAGAACATCCACACCGTCGCTGATGGCGGCCTCGATGCCTGCTAAGATATCGGAATCGTAACAGCCGCCATTTTTTGAAGGCCAGCAGACCTTGTAGGCAACAACACGAGCCCTGGGGGAACCTCCTTTCGCAGTCCCATTTCCATTGCCAAACACATTGACTCCATGGACAAAGTTGCCGCCCGCAGTGGACAAAGTGTGCGATCCATGGCCTTCGTGGTCTCGTGCACTGTCGAAGCTGATGTTGTGCGTTGTCAATGGACCTTCGGCGGCTTGAAATCCTCGGTAGAAATAGCGTGCTCCAATCAACTTCCTGTTGCATCGAAATTTGGAGCCGCCTTCACAAGCTCCCCTCCACCTTGAAGGAACAGGGCCATACCCTGCATCATTGAAGCTGGGGGACTCCGGCCAGACACCTTCGCAAATATTGTAATACATTGTAATAGTTCAAGTCGGGCGCCAGCAAATAAGAAAAATAGAATAAAAGAAGGGAAGATTCGCAAACCCGTGTCGAGGTTTCCTATGATGGTATCTGCCCCAAACCGAGCCGCCTTCCAAATGGAGTTCTGAGGGATTCCTCGATCACTATCGACCCCCAGAAAACCCCATGACCGTGTTGTATGCAGTTTTCTTTCCTTGTTCTCAAAAACGGACACCACGCTTGGATTCTCTATTTGTAGACAACATCATCCGTAAAGTAAGACGTTAAAAGCACCCAAATGCAACAACAAAAGTGGGAAAGCAACAACGCTTACTCGCAAGAGCCGTGGCTTCTTGTTCATCAAGAACGGCAGCAAAGCCATTAATGTATCGATTGTAGGAGTAGAGAATAGAGTCCTTGGCTGCCACTTTGCTATGCACCAAAAGGAGAGTTGTTAAGCGATGGATATGAAGAAATAACATGTGAAGAGAACGAAGTACCTTCCCTTGACGGATCCTAATATATCATACTGAGACTCGGTTGCAAGTTGGACGTCGTATACACTTGGATTTGGGGCGAAGGAGTGTGATCCCAAATAGACAATGTAGGAGTTCTTGGTAGGAACAGCCGCTGTGTGGAGCATAAAGAAAAACAAAAGCAATGGAGAAATCTTATTATATTCCTCCATTGCTTTTGCTTTGAAGTTCTATTGTGCTTTTCCCATTCCCAATTGGGTTCTTTATATCCCCAAACTCGATCATAAATCACTGGTTCCCTTTAATCTCCCCTCCCCCAAATTAAGCTCCTCCATCTAATTATTGGAAAAAAAACTGACTTGTTAATTAAACATATTCCAACTGTTATCATTTATTATTTTAATTGAGTATGAATTCCTTCTAATGGAAGGCAATTGAGTATGTTACAACAAAAAACAGTTTTAAAAAATATAATAACTATGCCATAATATAAAACCCTTTGAAACCCGAAGACCATTTTCATAGCCAAAGCAATGGAAGCTTCCAACCTAATTCCTTCAATTCTTTTCCTCTTTTTCCTCTTCTCTTTGCTGCAAACTTCCACCATTGCCACCATTGCCACAAAAAAGGTATGAACAACTTTTCGTTTTATATATATATATATACATACATATACACGTACGTACGTATGTATTTGCTCGAATCTTCGTGTTTTTGTTGATTTGTTCTTTGTTTTTTTTATGGTGGTTGCAGCCTTACATTGTTTATTTAGAATCACAATCAGTCTATGCTGATTCAAAACATTGTTCTATTCAACAAGTACAAGAATTCCACTATAATCTATTGGGATCTTTGTTGGGAAGGTAACAATCTTCATATGACTCTAAATGATGTTTAAGCTTATGTAATCTTACGCTGGTAAGAATTGAGTTTGTGTTTGATACATGAGTTTGATTATCTTAGCTAGGTAACGACGATTAAATAGGTCTATTTTAGCGTATATAATTGTAAGAGTTATAGTCCACCATTATCATATATATAGTTCGCTTTGACTAATTATGTATCATTGTCAGCTTCACGGTTTTAGAACGCACTTACTAAGGAGAGATTTTCATACCCTTATAAGGAATGTTTTGTTACCCTATCTAATCATTGTGAGATCTCACCATTTTATAGAAGGGAATGAAACAATATAAGGGTGTGGAAACCTCTCCCTAGTAGACGCTTTTTAAAATCGTGAGGGTGACGGTAATACTTAATAGGCTAAACGAACAATATTTGCTAGTGTGGGATGATAAAAGTTCCACATCCCCTAATTTAGGGAATGTTCATTTATAATCAAAGAATACTCTCTGCATCGTAACGAGGCCTTTTGGGGAAGCCGAAAGCAAAGCCATAAAAACTTATGCTCAAAGTGTACAATATCATATTCGTATAACAACTAGTAGTGGGCTTGGATTGTTACAAATGGTATTAGAGTAAAACACGAGACAGTGTGCCAGCGAAGACGTTGGGCCCCCAAATGGTGAATTGTGAGATCCCACATGGTTGGAGAGAGGAATGAAACATTCCTTATAAGCGTAATGTAGAATAATATCTGCTAGCGCGGTAGACTTCAACGGTACAATAATAAACTTTACATTTATGTAATAACATTATTTTAGTTTCTATACTTAATTTTGTTTGATGGGTTTGTGTAATTCATAGTCCAGAAGCAGCAAAGGAATCAATTTTGTACTCCTATACGAGATCTTTCAACGGTTTTGCAGCCATACTGAATGAGAAAGAAGCAGCAGATTTAGCGAGTAAGAATACCTAAGATTATACACACATTAAGACACCGATTCATAATATGATTTCGTTTATGAAATTTTTATTTGCTTTCTTAATAGTGTTCTAAGATCAAATAGATATCAACCCATTTTGAAATTGATATCAATATTGTTTAAAACTTTGTAGGAAGCCCACAAGTGATATCAGTGTTGGAAAACAGAGGGCGAAAATTGCATACAACAAACTCATGGCGTTTTCTTGGGGTGGAAGATGATGAAGGAATCCCTTCCAATTCCATTTGGAATGCTGCACAGTTTGGTCGAGATATGATCATAGCCAACATTGACACAGGTTTTGTTTATATCATAATTTTATTTTTAAATTTAATAAGTTCTTCAATTTTTTTAAAAAAATATATCTAATAATTCTTTTAAACTTTTTACTTGGAATTGATTTCTATTTAATGGTATTTTTTGTTTTATAAATTTAATACCTAATAACTCTTTCTTTCACATAAAAATTGAAATTTTGGGTTCGTACAGGCGTTTGGCCAGAATCAAACAGTTTTAGCGATGAAGGCTATGGACCCATCCCGTCAAAGTGGCGAGGCACGTGTCCAGATGACCCCAGCTTCCGTTGCAATAGGTCTATCTATTATTTTTTATTCATAAAATATAGCATCCTGAATATACATATTATAATTTTTTTTTTGTAAAGATATCTAAATTAAAAAAATAAAAAAATAAAAAAATAAAAAAATAAAAAAATAAAAATATATATATATATATATATGAAGAAAAAACAAATAATATTTTTATGAAGCATGAAATATTTGATCTAAATTGGTGGGAAAATCAGGAAGCTAATTGGAGGAAGGTATTTCTACAAAGGATATAAATTCGCCGGAGGCGTTCTCAACGCCACTTCTGTTTCCATACGCGACCACAATGGACATGGGACCCACACACTCTCTACAGCCGCCGGCAACTTCGTGCCAGGAGCCAACATTTTCGGCCATGGCAACGGCACGGCCAAAGGCGGCGCTCCAAAAGCCCGCGTCGCCGCCTACAAGGCCTGCTGGCCTCTCATACCCGAAGGAGAGTGCTTCGATGCCGATGTCCTCGCCGCCTTCGAAGCCGCCATCAACGACGGAGTCGACGTCATATCCGCTTCCCTCGGTGGAGGCGACCAAGAATTCTTCAGAGATCCGGTTGGTATCGCTGCCTTCCACGCCGCTCAACAAGGCATCATCGTCATCTTCTCCGCTGGTAATGACGGTCCTCAACCGGAAACCGTCGGCAACGTCGCGCCCTGGGAGATCACCGTCGCTGCGAGCACTACCGGGAGAAATTTCGTCAGTAACGTCGCCCTTGGAAATAACAAAATTCTAAAGGTACTCGTCTTACCAAGATCTAAAATCTAGACAAATACTGAACGAGTTTCTGCCCTAATTAACTAAATCGACCACTGCTAGGGCTCGAGCCTTTCGTCAGTTTCCGCATTACCACAGTTCTATCCATTAATCGATTCTGTGAATGCGAAATTCAGCAACGTCAGCGAGTTCCAAGCGTGAGTGTTGAGATTTTCCATTGTTCATAACTGCTGCTTCGATGATTATGAAATTGAAATTGGCGTTAATTGCAGGAAATTTTGCGGCAAGGGAACGCTTAATCCGAAGAAGGTGAAGGGGAAGATCTTGATTTGCACTGCAGGGAAGATTACAGGAGTTGAGAAGGGTTACAATGCTGCGGAAGCAGGTGCTGTGGGGATGATTTTGGCTACCAATATTGACAATCTGGAGGAAATCAAACCTGAGTTGTATTTCCTTCCAGCTTCGGGTATAACCTATTCCGATGGCGAATTGCTTGACGATTACATCAACTCCACCAGGTAATGTAATAATCTTTCTGCTTCTTCTCAACATTTCCCCAATATGATTCATTCAACCTTCAAATGTTTCCATTCCGTATCTGTTCTCTTGCTTTACGATTTAGAAAAACTAGTTCCCTTGTTTCTGTTTTTTCTCCTAACAAAAAGTGGTTGGTTTTGCACCTTCCAATCCAGTACACCAGTGGCTCAGATAATGAATGTAAGAACAGAGGTGGAAATAAATCCATCTCCAGTCGTTGCTGCATTCTCATCCAGAGGTCCCAACCCGTTCGACAAGGCCATCCTCAAGGTCTGCTTCCTAACTCTTTAACACTACTCGTTTCTTCAGGCCTTTCAAACATAAACTCCGTTTCCTCTGTCCTTTGCAGCCCGACATAACAGCTCCAGGTTTTACCATATTAGCGTCTTACCCCACCACAAGAGCCCCAACCCGTTCAGGCTTCGACCAACGGCGCACCCCCTTCAATGTATTCTCCGGTACCTCCATGGCCTGCCCTCACATCTCTGCCATCGCCGCCCTTCTCAAGTCCATTCATCCCGAATGGAGCCCTGCTGCAATTAAGTCTGCCCTTATGACCACGGGTAAGGCTTCTTTTGCTGATCCACTGCTCCTGCTTTCCTCCTATGTTTAATCAGTCACATATTCAACATGTCTGCTCTCCCCTTTCGCAGCCAAAACAAGCGACAACAACAACTTGCTGCTCAATGCCACCCCATTCGCTTTTGGTGCAGGACATGTCCGTCCAAATGATGCAATGGATCCTGGCCTTGTATATGATATTACTGTCGATGAGTACTTGAATTTCTTGTGTGCTCGAGGCTACAATGCAATTCAACTTAGGAGATTCAGTAAGCAGCCATTTGTTTGTGAGAAATCATTCAAAGCCATAGATCTCAACTACCCATCTATCTCAATTCCAAATCTAAATGTGAATGCTCCGGTGACAATCAATAGAAGAGTTAAGAATGTGGGAGGTCCAGGGACATACGTGGCCCGAGTCGAGCTACCAGAGGGGGTTGCAGCATCGGTTGAGCCAAGTACGTTGCAGTTTAGCAGTGTGGGTGAAGAGAAAGCATTCAGGGTTGTAGTGCAAAACACGGGAGAATTGAAACATGAAGGTTATGTGTTTGGGAAATTGGTATGGTCCGATGGAAAGCATTCTGTAGGAAGTCCCATCTCAATGAATCTACGATGCGATTGACATGATGTAATTTGACATTGAAAATCATGTTGTTCATGACATTACTCCATTCTTAACAAAATCCAACTTTTTATTTAATAACACTCCACCTTTCAATTTCTAGTAAATAAACAAGAACAGGGTCAATTATTTGTTTTTCATATTAACATTATATTATTTATGTTGTTAGAACAATATCATGATCTTAATGAAGCAATTCCAATCACTACCTCCACCTTCGCCATGACCTTTGGTCTGACGTTATTTTAAATATCATGTTAGCTATTCTTTCACTAACAATAAGATCTATCACGATAAGCTTAAATGATTTTAAACGTGCAATATAAATTATATAAAATTGTAATTATACATTTCTTTTTTTGACATCGTAATACCGAGTTGGTGATATACAATTCCCAACTTTCCATTAGAACAAAAGGTTATATACTCTTTAATTTGAAAGCGCGCGGGATAATACAAGGTCCAAGGAATTAGCATCCGTACAAAAATCCCAAGAACCCCCCTTCTGTAACTTGATTCCGGCTCCCCTCTCTCGATCTTCATCTTCTCTGTCTTTCAGCCATTTCCTCTCGCCCTACTCCCCCCAAGCTCTCAACCACTCTCCCTCGCTCCCTCATTCTTGATTTCGCGCTGGTTTCTGATTAAGTTGCAAAACGCACACCCAAAGAGGCTTCTCCTTATTTCCTTCTTTGTTTGACTCTGTTCGTATGATGTTGGAGTTGCACCATTGAGAATTTGAGAAATTGGCGTTTTCTGGGTGGGAGGGACGAGCCTGCGTTGTTCAGTGTTTGAGCTCTCACTCTTTCAGCTATAACGTTTTTCACATGGGTCTTCGGGATGTTCATTGGAAATCGCCATTTTGAATCATTTTCAGGTGACATTCTCGGGCTGCACGCTTTTCTTCTTAGATTTCGGGAGGGGGGAGATTTTGTGACACTTCAATTGCTGTGAACTCTCAGATACTGTCGTTCTTGTTGGGGTTGAAGGAAATTTGGATGCAACTCGATTGGGGTTGAAAAACTATGGAAAATTCAGCTTCAACATCGATTTCTAGTCTCTCAACGCCCCCTTGGAACCTCGAGAGGCCCTTTCTCACTGGGCGTTTTCACCAGGTTTCTATTTCTCCTCCCTTATTTTTCACATCTATTTTCTTCCATATCGAATAGGAATGTGTGTTTGTTTTGTGAAGAATAGTGCGTAAGCTATAGCATTAATCGGAGCTTCTGGAGTGGGAATAGTATCATTTTTCACTCATGGCATGTATTTTTGTTGTTCCTGAATTCCTTGTTCACTTATGAATTATTATCATTGTAGTTTTAATTCTTCCATTGGTCCCTCGTATAGAAAATGAGTTCTGACCTTGTGATTTTCTCTTTTTGTTTTGAAAATATACTCCAGGAATCAAAAACCACTTCCCGTTTTGCTGAATTAAAGTTGGATTCTTTCAGGTAACTGACAATATCAATAAATACATTTTTACCTTACTTGAAACAGTACTTATCGTCACTTCAAAATTCGAATATCTCAGAAGTGGGTGGCAGGAAAATGCCATAGGCTGTTATGATGCTGCAATTCAGGTATGATCTGCAATTATTATTATATGTTCTTTTTTTTTATACACAAATTATGATTATATGTTAAATACTCCGTTTCAAACTTGAGGAAGTTATTATAGTTCGGCAATTTGTTGTTCCTGAATTCCTTGTCCTGTTATGGATTTGGTTGTTCATATTATTTTTATCTATGAATTTTTCATCGCGGTTTCTGACAATAGTACTTGTCTTCTGTCACACTTATATATAGGAACTTATTGTAATTGATGATCTCCTCTCCGCCCTGCTTGGAATTGAGGGACGCTATATTTCGATTAAGAGGGTTCATGGCAAAGAGGATGAGGTTTCTTTCCAGGTTGATGCATCTATGGATTTGGCTCTTCAGGTAGCAGTTTTGGAGGCATAAAGTTACTACAACTGTTGTTTATTTATTCATTATTATTGTAAAACCTTTGCATTTGTAGGTGTGATTAGCATGTTTATTGAATCAAATTTTGTTCTCAAGCATCTAATTACCTTTGCTAATTTGCCTTCCAGTGATAATTAACTTATTTTAAGCTGGTGTTGATTTAGAAAAAGAAGATTTTGAATGAGGCCTCAATCTATTGGATATCTTGGATTGTTAAGTTCTTTCCAAACATACTGTTGACAACCTCGAATTGGACTGAAACAGCCCTTCTCTTCTTATCTTTGTAAACTGGAGGCCTCTATTTGGTTCCTCCACTTTTCATCTCTAAGGCCTTTATGTTGTGTCTCTCTCTTTTTTATTATATGGTTCTTCGATCCTTATTAAAAGAATATTTATGTCTACTTTTGTGGAGTAGTGGACATAATTGTCAGATTTTGTTATATGCTTGGAACAGAATTAGCTAGTAGATTTTGTAAATATATACAAGTTTTAATATCACATGATTACTTCTTTGTAATTATTTGTACTTTTCATCGACCAAGTGTAGGGGATTTGTAGATACCGTATGATTATAATCCCAAAGGTTTTTCGAGAAGTAGTTTCATGAGTTCTGGTAAAGCATCAATCCTTTTGTTCTTCCTGGGGGGACATGTCAACCATTATAATTCTATATGGAAATTTAAAGATTTTCTGCACAATGGAATTTGTGATAACTTTCTAGATATGCGAAAACTGTTAGAATTCTGATAAATACAATCACCCCCATTATGGATTATTAACATTTTACCTGATGCTTTTGACACTAAACTCTTCTAACGCTAATTAAGTCTAATATTGCAGGAATTGGCAAAAAGAATATTTCCTCTGTGTGAGAGCTTTCTGTTCATTAATCAGTTTGTTGAATCAAGATCTCAGTTCAAGAAGGGCTTAGTTAATCACGCCTTTGCTGCTGCGCTTAGAGCTCTCCTTCTAGTAAGTGCTTTGTTTTTAGCCCTGATGTAAAAATTGTATTCATTCGAGTAAAACTGATAAAAAAAAACCTTCTTATTCTTTTCATTCTACCAGCACGTTCTTTTAATAAAAAGAAATAACGAGCGGCACAAAGTAATGGCCTAATGGGAGACAATTTGTGGAACCAACGCATTAGAACCACAAAAAAAAAAAAAAAAATGGAAGCCAGTCCAAAGGAACCAAAAAAAGAACAAAAAGTAAAAAGAAACAAAAATTTACAAAATCTTCAATAATATTTGTGCTAACATTGATGCCTATAATCTCTTTTTTGGAAATTGATATTTTGTCTAGGGAACCTTTTGAAGGTTACAGCTTATATCAGTAACATAATAATTTCTAAAGGGAAAAGATAAAATATCAAGGAGAAGCTTGGAAGTATCCCGCTGGATTATATTTAGAGTCTGAAAACTATATAATACGTTAAGGGTCTCAAAATATGTTGATTTGAATACTAATTTAATTCTGCTGTTGACCCATAGGATTACCAAGCAATGGTAGCCCAGCTTGAGCATCAGTTTCGACTGGGTAGACTTTCCATCCAAGGATTGTGGTTTTACTGTCAGGTTTGAGCTTCTCTTAATCTATACAAATTCATTTCAAGTATGCCTTCTCACGTTTTATGCTACTGCACATTGCAGCCTATGATGGGTTCCATGCAAGCATTATCTGCTGTGACATGGAAAGTTTCAGCTAATGATATTGCAGGTTCTGCAGTTCTTAACCTCTTGCAGAGCCAGGTACAAACTTGTATTTACAGTCAAGGTGGTTAGAAATCTTCAGAATTTCTCAGCACGTTTTGTATCTCTGAGGGGTTTGCCTTGTTTATAGAAAAAAAAAACTTTGGATGTTTATATTTAAGGTACTGCGTCCTGTGAGTAGATGTAGACTGTTGGGCACTTTTTCATCTACTGTCTCTTCTTTCATTTTTCCTTTTCCCCGCTTTGTTCTTTCTTGAAGATATGCATAATAATGAAAAAAGATGTACAGGGGGGATACATGATTAGAATTCAAAACTAAACAATAGTTTGAGATCATGTAATTAAAAGTTCTCCAATGTGTTGAAATAGAAATTTGTTGTTAAGATTGTTTTTGTAAGCAATGAATATCTTTGTTTATAATAGAACATCTCTTATCACGTAGATATGTCTTTCTTGGAAATATATTTACCCAAGAGATCAAGTCATCTGTTATAGGCTTCAAAAAGCCAGTGTTCTTAGTCTCGACCAAATACCAAGATAACTAAGCAGCCAGTCTTGATAAGAACACCCAATTTTGTTTGCTTGACCATAAACCTTGTTCAGATCAACTGATTTATTATTAGTCTTATTAATGAAAATCCATACTTTCATTTACAGGAGAATGAAAGGACATATAATGGGCATTCAAAAAAATTATATCAACGGGTGACAAGCAGAGCCAAACCAATAATAAATCCTCATTCCTAAAGTAGCTAAAATAAATTTTAACATCGTAAGAATATTATAAAGTTCATTCTTCTCATAACCCTGACAAATAAGTGTGTGCCATTTGCAAACTGAAGTTGATAAATGGTAACATTGCCCTTCAATTAAACACCTTTTAGAACATTCATCTAGGTATTCTTCATAAAAAGCCTACTTTAAATGTGCACCAGACAGAGGAAAGGTGATAAAGGGGTATTCTTGCCTCAAACTCCTTGATGGAAAAATGCCAGCTTTTGCTTTGTCAGTGATAAAAACGAAGAAATTGGTTTTTGAGATATAGTTTGGATTTCTGAATCCAATCCAACTGCTTATTAGAAAAGCTGTTTTCTTCTGTTATAGCTTGCAAGGAGTCGTATCAAAGAAAGCCCGAGCTTTTTCGATCAATCTTGATAAACGAAGCCATGATCTTAGAAGCTCTACCATCAACATAATAGAATCAATAATTTGTTTGACTTTAATTGGAGCTAACTGGAATTTGGAAACTCTAGAAGGAACCGATCTCTTTATCTGCAGAAACTTAACCAAGAATTTTATATATGATCTTGATCTAGTGAATGAGTCTAATTCACTCATCTTGGAAGCCTGGGATGTTTTAGGAGTTAGGAAAATAGACACGCATGATGCATTGGAACATTCACGAAATAAGTCTTATAACACCAT